CACAGGCGAAAAAATATGAAAATTGACCATTTTTCAAAAATAAATAAAATCACCAAATAATTCTGCAGTCATTCTGATTGTTTTATTATACAGAATCATCCTTTATCTCGGGGACGCTGGGAGCACTTTTTCGATTTCGACTTTGTTTTTGTTTTTTTAGAAATATTTTACCGAGTCGACTGGCAGGTGTTCGAAAAAACGCTTTTCGTCATATACATATCAAGAAGCACAGGAAAAAATCGAAAATTACGCTCCCAACGTTCCCTAGACACTATTTATCTACAGAAAGAGACATAATACGTTTATGTTGGACTAAATTTGCGTCCTGGATGCTTCTTGAAAAAATATAAGTATACCTCCGAAATAACTGCCCCTGTTTTTTTTGTTTGTTTGTTTGTTTGTTTTTTTCTCTCTCTCTCTTTTCATAATCCTTATGGTATGAAAATTTAAAAGTAGAAGCATAATCTTCCTAAACCATAATTGTCTATCATCTACCTGCATTCCGATGTATTGTGGATATTGCCAGCACGTAACGGTGGCAGTAATTTTTCGTGGCTTACGTTGACCATATTTAAAAATTTATCTAAAATCCAAAAAATCATACAGATATTCTGATTTCATATCTGAATAGAATTATCCTTCTACTATCATATACAGAAGCCAATTTTTAGGTCAACCTAACTTTTTTTGGTGAATATTTTCCTAAGCCCACTCTCTCGACACCCTAAAAAGGGATACTGAAAATATATGTCACTTTTATAAGAAGTACATGAAAATATTACAAATCTTTATTGCATCATGTAATAGATCTATTATTTAGCTACAAAATGAGCCATAATACGTTAAAATCGGACTGAAAATACATGTGCTATGCGTAAAAATGTGAAGGACCTAATAATCGCGATCTTTTTCCTTTTCATTATTTATACATTTTACAAGACAAATCATGTACGGAATACTTGTTATAGATATAATTATCTATTATTTACCTATTATTGTTGCTCTAATGGGGTTTTACAATGGATAATATTGGTTGGAAAAATAACTGTTTTTCATTCGGACAGATATCAGATTTTCTCAGCGCGGCCGGTGCGTCGTGGACCATGAAATAGGTTTCTTTGCATCTGCGGAATATTGGTGTTTAACTCTACGTGGTCACGTGGCCAATTTTCACACGCTCACTCGTCAGTTCTAAGCCTAGTAACACCAGGGCAGGACGTCATCAGGATTCCTCCTGTGTTTTGGGCGATTTTACGGGGATGAACCCCTCGATCTGGGTCGTCCCTATACCCAGAGTGTGAATGGTGTGTGTGGGTGTACCATCACCAAATTGTGTCGGACATAAAAGCCAAGGCATGTGGAAAATCAGTGTTACATGAAAATTACGAATGCTGAGTCCAGTGCCTAAGTAACGAGGTGCTGCTCTACGAGGGACCGTTGGCGAGGCCTGTGGAGTGTATGTGTGACAGCAGTTGACCTGCGCTCGCACCCTCCCCTCGCCCGACCGCGAGAGTAAATCACCTCAGCGGCGGTCTGTCACCCGCCAGCGGCCCCCACCATGGAGGGGGAAGGTGACGGCTTTGGTGCCACCCACTCCCACAACCCTCCACCCTGTGGAAGAGAATGATTCCTCTGACATGAACAACGAGAAATCACCTGCAAACCCTGACGTTGACGACGAGGGCTATCAAGTCACGAAAAGAAATAAAAAAGACACCACGTGAATCCGGCGACGCGACTGATGAACGATCCAAGAACAATCACCGAGAACCCATCGCCCCAAGACAGAAGTACATCTGCCTGGCCTTCCCCGAGGAAACGTCCACGGTCGATAAAATAAGGTAGATGGAGCCGACTCCCTTCCCTCCAAGAGCATGGACCACTAGACATGGTGCAGGGGAAATGGCGATCCTCGCGCAATGTCTACGTCCGATGGGACCAACGACACTACGTAGCCCAGATGATCAATGGTGCTGTCGCAGGGATTTCGCTTGAAGAAAAAGACGAGTATCAGCCCAGACCCAAGAGATACGGGGAATACCTGGTTACCAGGTTTCCAAAGGAGGCCCCTGCAGATGACGCAATGCACCTTCCGGGTGTTTTTAAAGCCCAGAGAATCTATAAAGAAGGGCAGCCATTAATTAGAATCATAATTGTGTAGACCGGAGAACGCCCGCCACCCAATGAACATCACTTCTTTGGCAAGTACATAGAGCCGAGCTCTATACACCCATGGAGCTCCGAGGTGGTGGCCTGTTACAAGTGCCAGGATTACGGCCACGTAGCCAAACACTGCAGGAAGGAATCAACTTGTGGTGTCTGTGCAGAAGCTCACCAGACAAAGGAATGCCCTGCAAGAAACAGAGGAAAGGACAACGACACCGAAGACGCCGTCACCATCGTGAAAAGGTGCATCCGATGCAGGGAGCAAGGTGTCACGGCCGGCACCGTAACTGCCCGCACAGGCCGGCACGCCTACACCCCCCCCCCCCCCTGCCCT